GTTGATGGGAGAAAGCCACCTCGTTTTTCCCCCATGGAGCAAGTGGGGCTTATCAGACGGAGGAAACAGTGTGTGAGTCAGATAGGACTCATCTCTGATCTCCTCTGGCTCCTACGGCCGATTGTCATAAGGCAGAGGTCTGACAAGCCTCCACCCTCCACCCCTCTCTCCCAGGGTCCTCTCTGTTTCTCAGCTTGGCTCTCTAATTCTTTGCGATGGCTGCACAGCACTGGCAGACAATACTCAGAGTTATGGGGTTTATGAGGCACGTGAACAGGCTACGACTCAGGTGTGAATGGCTGGAGACAGCTGTACAGTCAGGCCAGGCTCTTCTCTGCCCACAGGCAGGCCTCTCTCTGGGGACCCACTTCTCCACCTGGCCCCTCTACCGGCCTATTCAGGGGGAGGTTACAAAGCTCTTTTAGGGCCTTCAATAAATGCCTAAAGGGCATTTATCCGACTGAAGGTTGTCAGCCTTTTAAAGCAATCAGACCCTATAGTCTGTCCCACCCTAAGTAGCGCCCACCCTCTTCTGCTAAGGATAATGGATGGTTCCCCTGAAGGAGAGCCCAAAGACACCTAGGGCCAAGCCAACTCAGGGACGACCAAGGTTAGGCTGCCATCTTGAATCCACCCATCATGTTACATACGTGCCTTCCTGTCACATGCATGCCTCCAGTGCCTCCCCTTACTATTGCGTGTATCCCTCTAGCTCATCCCCCTTCTGTCCCGTGTATGTCTATTGTACACCCCTTCCTGTTACGTATGTGGTTACCTGTAATTAGGGGGACTGGCACATCCCCTGAGTGCAAATAAACCTTGGTTGGAGATCTATTCTCTCCCTGCATGGACTTGGCTCCTGAGGTCATGATGGTCCCAAAGGTGAGCACTCGCATGCTTTATCTTGTCTGTTGTCTATTTAATTTTACCCCTCAATTACACAACCACCCCTTGGATTCGTTCAGTTGTGGAGGCTGGTACCCCACAAATAATCAGCTCCCCTCAGGAAAGGCCTCGTGGTACCCCACTCCACAGGCCAGCCTCCTGCCCCAAAGCACTGCGCTTGACTTGCTCTGTGGGCTGGGAAGGCCACAGCTCTGGCTCCGGTTCTGCCGCCTCCTGGCTCCAGGAGGGTCACTCTGCAGGTGTCCTGAGTCCCCAGAGGCACACACTCCTCCTGTTCTTCTCACCTGGTAGCAAAATGACCGCGCCCTGCTTCTCAGATGGCTGGCTTGATACCCAACAGGATGGACGTCAGTCACAATGAACTCTCTAACAGACACTCACAGTTGAAGCATAGAACCCCTGAATCATGACTAC